TTTAGACTTTCATTTTATGTCATTTTTATTATATTTTGACCAATGAAAATTTCAAAATAAAAATTTTTTCAACGAATTACTCATTTTGTTCTGGTTACTGTGACTTGAAACTTTATTAGATTAATTTAAAATTTACTTATTAAATTAATCTAATAAAGTTAATTTAATAAGTAAATTTTGCTTTTGTACGAATGAAATTATAATAAAGCTTCCAGCACTGAAAATTTCTAGCAGAATTTAGTAAATTGTGGAATTATTTAGTACTGCGTTGATTTTGACAAAATTTAGATTTGTTTTCAAAGTACTTAAATTTACGACAAATTAAACTGAATAAGAGTTATTTTAATTAAAATAATTGATAAGGATAATTTATTTGCTATTTTTGTGAGATCATATGGAGCATGTAATGCAAAAGTTTTCATGAATTATAAATTAAATTTATTAGAAATTAAAAACTTAAAATCAGCAAATTTTCAGAAACGATTTTAGTGTTATGAAAGCAATTGCGCACTTTTGAAGACAATTGTTTTATTGAGATTTGAAGATTTTATGAGGTCAGTGCTAAAACTCGATATTATTCTTATTAATTAATAATTACTTGTTTATTCAATAATTATTGTTATTTATTTGCCTGTGATTTTTGATAATGATTAGTTTATGGTGTTGGTAGACATTGCTTTTTACTGTGATCAATCGCGCACAAAACTTAATTTTTCAATAAAAGTAAATTAAATTAAAAATGTTTTTTTTGCATATTATTATTTATACCGTTGAAATATTGGAAATCATCATTAATATGAAGAATTATTTTTGCATACTCTTTTAATTTATGCAAATTTTTTATTTTCCTATTGAATTTTAGCATTATATGACCTTATAAAATATTCAAATCTCAACATTTTGCGCAGTAAAATTCTAAGCGTTAAATGCATTAATAACTTTGCGTCAAATAATTTATTTCATACATATTTAAACTATAAAATCATATTTCAAAAATTTTGCATATACTTATTTAGCATTATTTATTTATTTCACTTAAATGTCAGCTCTTATTAATTGTGTCAAAAAAGTATTAAAACAAATTTTAGCTAAAAGCTTTCAATGAATCATTACTAAGATTCTAAATGCTTTCAATAGTAGATGGGTTCATCGTGTAATCTTTCTGAAAAGTTACAGTAAATTACGTTTACAAATTATAATTGTTGTTCTCACAGAATTATTTGAAATATCCTATAGATTAGTATTGATTTTTTCGTATCAATTCAAAAGGATCAATTTTTGTAAACAACTTTGTACAATTTATAATTAATTATTCTATACTTTTACATTTTTTAAAACACAAAAAATGTTAAGATATTACTTTTATATATATACAAAAGCTATGTTCTGCACAAAACTTCATTAAGAGTATGAAATGTATAGACTTGCTTTAATCTTATAATTTTTTGCGTGAGAGTATCGTATTACGTTATATAAATTAATAAATCAAATAATAGCTTGTTGATAAGTAGTGAACTTGAAAATTGATGACGTCATTTCACGTGAATGGCTTCACTGGTTTAATTAGTGGCAACAATATATTGTAACCTTTCCTTTTTTAATAATATCAGATTTTTTTAATTAAACTGCTTTTTTTCAAATGTTACTCATATAATAATTTATTAATTAAAATTTTAAAGATTTGTTTGTTATTTCAAGAGTGAAGTAATTTTGAAAGTACGTAATTTTTCTATAGGTGAGGATGGTTAATACTTTAGAACGATGCCAAACTGTACTTGTAGAATTGCCTGAAAGTAGTATTGTCTACGACTGGTTCACAGCTCTTCACGCTTTTTATAATCCTATTCATACTTATTTATCTATAGCTATATGTATTTTGGGTACTTTATGCAATTTTTGTAACATTATCGTATTAACAAGGCAAGTTTTGTACTTTTTTTCATAGAACTAATATATTAAAAATATAATTTGATTGTAAAATTATTAATTCAAAAATCGAGTTACAAATTAGACGATGCCGTGGAACCTGTTCATAAATGGACTGCACAGAATTAATTAAAATTGTAAAAGTTACTGTAAAAGAAGAAAGTATTGTGCAATTTACTGATTAAACTTTCAAGATATAATTTTTGGTATTGTTTAATCCAAGTGATCGAAATGCTAGTATTAGCAGAGTATTTAATACTATGGTGTGAATACAAAATCATTATAATTAGTACTGATTATTAAAATATTTGCACAAAATTACAAAATTTAAAAGAAAATAAAATGTGGTTTTTTGAATGAATTGGCAAACTTCAATTAATGTTAATAATTATGAAATATGAAAACCTAAAAAATAAATAATTGGATAAAATTTGAGTAATTAAGAAATTAATAATTAAGAAGGAATGAATTTTTAATTCAAAAAGTAAAAGTTCAAAAAGGAATTTTGTTGATAAATTACGTTGTTATCATTTTAAAAAGTTCAAGAAATATGGATTAATTGAAGGTTTTCAATTAATTCGAAGTTTTATATTGATAAAATAAGCTTATATTTGTTAAGTTTAATTAGCGAAAGTAAACTTTATCAATTTTTGATAATGAACGAAAAATTTAGGAGACGTATGCGTACGCCTGTAAATATGATTCTCACTGCAATGGCTGCTTGTGATACGGTAGTATTGTTCTCGAATTTAGTATACGCAACGCATTACACTTTTGTAGCTTTTGTAAATTGTCATCCAAAACATTGGAGTTACGGTTGGGCAGTTTTCCTTATATGTCATGCGCATTTATCACTTATTGGTCATTCTAGCAGCGTTTGGTTATCAGGTTAATTAATTACTCTATATTAACTTAATTAAGTTGGAATAATTGAAGTTACTATCGTAATTACTAAAATCAGTTAAAGTGAACCAAAATATCTTCCAGTTGGTGCTGACTAAAAAAAATTTTTTAATGCGCTGAGCTGAGAACTAATTATAAAATATAATTTTTCAAATAATTTGAGCTAATTTAAGTTTTAAAATTAAAAACTATAAATTTTATTTCATGAAGATTTAAGAACAATCAATTCTAATTTGTTAAAATTTTAATAGTCTATTTATATTTTTCGTTTCTTATTTTGTTTTATTGTATAGTATAGTATATGTTTCATTCATATAAGATGATGCTAACTTAGATATCATGTACCAAATACTACCTGGTATAAATTGCTGCTAAATCCATTAATACCAAAACTATGAGGATTACACGAATATGCAGATTAAAAAAGCCTTAAATATTTGATATTCAAATTTTTTATGCAAATTTGGCACAAATCAATGTAAATATTCTGTAATGCTTGAAATTTTATTTAGATTAGTTAATATAATTCAATACTTACCAAATTATTCAAAGGCTCTAAAACTGTGATGCATAAATTGATCGTTGATCAGTACTATTTCAGTTATGTTAGCACTAATAAGATATTCTACATTACGAAGTAGACGAAAAGTTAATGTCTCGCAGGTATTTTTTTTATTTTGATAGTAATATGAATAAAATTTACTCTCTCTAAAAATTAAGTTAATAATTGAGTAATTTGAAAAAAAAAATTTTACATTTACTAAAATATATCATTTGTTTGTATAATAATGTAATATTAATAACTGAATATTTGAATAATTAAGACTAAACTCTGCTAAAGATTAAAATTAGGTAAAATGTCTCCGGGGTTGTTTGAATCTTAACTATACCAGATATTAAAGTCAGATCATATTTATGTACAACTTTGATCTAATACTTGATGTATTTAAGAAAAATCGAGAATTTGACCTGTACAAGAATACGAAATATTCATTATTAATCTTTTTAAAAGTTGTTTATTTCTTTTTGCTGGTAAAAATTTTATGTGAGTTGGAAAGTTTTAGTATGCGAGCAAAATTATGATAATTTTTAATTTAATTAAATTTAATTAATTTTGCAACATAAACGATAAAAAAAATTTACGCTAGAAAAGTTCAAGTACTTAAATCAGAATTAATTACTAGAGTATCAAACTTAATCAAATAATTAACTAATTATTACTTAAAAGGGATTATCACAGCACTTTTCTATCTTAATACTTTCCATTCTAAAGATAAAACTTAATTTGGAGGCAAATTTGTATTTTATTTAAACATTCGAATATTCATTTTTCGTCATATATTTCAGTTTAATAATTTTAAACTTTTAGATAAATTTAAAACATTCATACATGGCTATAGCTTCGGTCATATTATTTGTTGCTGTAATGAACAGCCCTAATTTTTTGGTCTATCATATATTCGAGATGAAACTCAGTGAAACATGTAATGTCACGGATACACGTAATATAAACGCTAGTGCTTACATCCCAGGTGTTTCAGATTTGGCTCTTGAAGCTCACTGCTTGGTAACTCCTCTTCATTCATTTGCTGTTTTATTTATATCTCAAAATTAAAATCATAATTAAAATTATAGTGTAATTTACTTTATGGAGCAGAAATTTTGCATTAAAAAATTGATTCATTCTTTTGTTAAATTTTACACTATTCACGTGTCATGTTACGTAATTAATTAACTTGTAATATTCATTAATTAGTTTATGAATATTATATCACAATACTTTCATATCCGTTACACGTGCGTAATTAATAGTGCATAGAAGCCATAAACACAGTACTTTCATATAATATTCATAAACTAATTAATGAATATTACAAGTTAATTAATTAATACGTGAATAAACGATTGAAATTTCATGCATAACTCGTAACGGATATGAAAGTATTGTGTTTAAGACAAATAACTTTAAATTACTGATTCAAAGCTTGTAAATAGTTATATTTCTTGATGTTTCTTTACAATTAGCTATAAAGTTATAATTATAATCAATGAATAATGACAAAACTTTAATTAAATAAATAAGCATTTTCAAATTTGTTCATAAATTAGGTATTCCGATCAGCTTTCTGGATATCAGGAACGATATTCAAGATGGTTCCATGTTTACTTTTATCGTTGTTTGTTTGGTTACTAATGAAAATTCTTACAAAAATCCAACGAAATCGTCTCAAACTTATGCATATGTCAATTCCTAATTACAATGGAGAAACAGATCAAAACATTGATAATCAAAGTAGCAAACGAAATTCTACTCATTTTCAATCTACTAATACTACTCCGTGTACTAAGTAACTTTTCTAACTTTCTGAATCCTTCTTGAGTATGTGACTTGAAGAATGTTTAAGTTAAAGGTCAACATTGGCAGAAAAAAATTCACCTTTATAAAAATTGTAATCTATTTATGAGTTAAACTTGAATAGCACTCTTAGCTGTCTAAATTTTTTAGCGTTTTTATGCTGATTTTAGCTGAAATTTAAAAATTTTTTGAGTGTAAAATTTTGTGCAGAAAATTCCAATAGTGAAAAAATGCAATTGAGGATATGAAAAAAATCATAACTGATCAAAAAGATCAATGAGTTAGTGAAAATTTTGAAAAAGCATAATTGATAAATTAAATAAAATTAATGAAAATGATAAAAATAAATTAGAACTTAAGAAATTAATAAATGATATTATATGGAAATTGATAAGTAATAGTAATCTGTAATAATTGTAATGAGAAAGTAAAAATTTTTCAGAGGTAGCGCAGGTATTACAAGTCGTACAGATCGAACCACTAGAATGTTATTGACGATTTTATTTGTATTTTTAATAACCGAACTTCCTCAAGGAATAATGGCAGTGTTATCGGGAATTTTACCTGAAGCATTTCGAAGATATATTTATAATAGCCTTGGGGATTTACTGGATTTACTATCACTTTGCAATGCTTGCACAACTTTCATCATTTACTGCTCAATGAGTGAACAATTCAGAAATGTTAGTTTTTTTAAGTACTAAAAAGTATTTATATACTTATTAGATACTGTAAGTTATTTGATCGTAATGATTATTAAAATTTAATTTTTGTAAAAGGCGTCTTGGTTTTAATTAGTTTTGAACTTTGCAAACAGTTTGAGTAAATTTCTATTTAAAAATTTGAAAACACAAAATACTCTATAAATTTCAATAGATACTTTCAACAATATGAAGTTTGCTGATAATTTTAAAAGTAAATATGATAAAGTTTTCAAGGGCATTTCATGAGAGTTTCTTGAATAATTGCTGTTATAATTACTTTTTCATTAAGTATGTTTTGTTTCCTTTTAAAATCTATGAACTTCTATAACAATTTAAATGAATCCGAAACTAAATATTTATGAGTTTTTAGAATTCTTGCATAAATGGTTATGGGACTGAAAATGTATGACAGATACTGTAGAAAACTTCTGTGAATCTTTTAAAATTAATTTTTTAATTACTTTTCAATTCTCTGCTCTGAATTTTTGTATTTTTATTTTTTGTATTTTCATCTCTTAAAGTAATCAATTTTGCAAAATTTATAATTTTCGTCAAAAGCTAAACCAAAAAATATTTTAATCATTACCAAAAAGTATATAAATTTGTTATCTTATTAGCTGAAAAGATAACAAATTTTAGAGACATATTGACAAGAGTCAAAATTTTTACATTTCAAAAATACTTAAGCCACATTTATAATTTTATTTAAAAATTTTTGCAGGAATTTAAAAGGGTATTTTCATTACGAATAAGAATTAAATTTGGTCGTACATCGAAATCAACTCAAAATTTGAAAGCGTTACCAATACATTCATTTATTACTGCCAGTTGTGATCATACTTTTCAAATAAAGCGCAAAATATTAAACGAGTAAGTATTTATATCATTTAGTAAACAAATTATAACGTCGAAAATTTTTAAAATATTTAAAAATATAAGTGCTAAAAATTTTGCAGCTTTTTTTTTGAAATTTTACAGACAAATTTTATAATGTGGTTATTAATATTTTGTAAAATTTCGCACTAACAACATTTTAATAAATTTTCAGAACTACAGAAAATATATCTCCTGTCATCCCAAACACATCTAAAAGAAGTCTTCCTACGAACTCCCAAAATATTGACTTTGAAGAAAATGATAAGTTAGATCTCGATACTGAAACTATAGCAGATTCTGATGATTCTCGGTTCATACCTCTAATTGACAAAAAGGATCGAAAATTAGGATTCTCCGTAACAATTTGCTCAAATCCTAGAGATGAAAGTAAGCCTAATTTGTAATAGCTGAAAATTTTTGATTCTTTGTAACATTTTGCAAAGTTATCAAAATTTGAATAATATAATTTGAATTATTGTAGATGATCAATGAGTATTTTTTTATAATATCAGGACGCTTTTCACAAATTCTTTGTTGTGTATTGTTTAAACAATGACTTTTTGTGATAATTGCCTTGACAATTGCAATAAATGTATGAACGTTGACAACTGATTTAACAACTGAAAAAAGCTAATACAATTATTCAAATTTCTCACTGTATTTTTGATCAGTCAGATCGATCGGTTCATGTACTGCTTCTTGATTTATGTTGTTTTCTTGCATTGAATCAGTTACAGATTCTAATTTTTTAATTTGATGATTTCGTCGTCGTAATGGAGGAAAAGGTCTAAATATAAGACAACAACAAATAGCTATTCCAGCACAGACAAAAATAGCAATCGTTGAGATACACGTAGCCATTATCCATGATTCTTCAGATTTCTTGTTGACTGCCGCATCTACAAAATTTTTATACATTTAAAAAGAACGAGCTTGTAAAGATGATGAATACTGGTAAAAGAAAATTTGCATGACTTAATAAATAGCAGTTATCAACTTTGTAAGTTTTCCAAAAATCATGAATCTTTCATCAAATTGAACTTACTAAAGTTACTAATCTTTTAATCATAGTGATTAATTTTTGCAAAAATTTATTTCAAAAAGCAAAAACTAATACAATAATTCATATCCGCATCCAATTTTTTTAATACTAAATTATGCAAGTTTTTAAATACATAATGGATCTAAATAACTTTTCTGTAAAATTTATCATTGTCATTTGTTTATCAATGTTTATTGATAAATTACTAAGAAGTGAAAGCTGTGAATTCATAAACTGTGATTCTAAATGCTAAGAATTTACGGCTTACCATCGATACAATCGAGAAATAACCAATTTGCATCAAGTTTTTCAACTATTTCAACAGAGCATGCGATTCTGGCCTTGAGTAGAAAATTCCAAAATTATGTTTATTAGTAAATTTTATCAGCAAAGTTTTAAAAATAAATTAGAACGATTCTTTAAAACAGAAAATATTCTTCAACAAAATTATGAAAGAACAAATTTTCAATTTTATTAAAGTCAGTAAAAGGCCAACAGAATATGAGGAAAATGTACTGTCAATTCGTACAGTAAATGCATCTTAACTTTCGTGCTTATGAATTTACCAATACAGTAACGCATGCATGTTATGATTACGATATTTTCCTCAGGCTTCTGTAGCTCTACCTGTGATTGCTGTGAATTCATAAACTGTAAGATTTTTACCACTTTCACTTCTCACTACAGTCCTTATTACTGTATGATTTTTGTCACTTTATTAAATTTTTAGATACGGCTGAATAACCACTGAATATTTTAAAAAATTTCAATCATTCAACAATTTTCAGATTCAAATGGAAAAAAAAAATTTTTGTCATAAATTTTGGATTATAGTCACATTGCTACTAAAACTGTATACACTTCTCTGCAGGTGTTGTACTGTATGATACTAGATGAACAACTACAAAAATTGTTAATATCAACCATTAAAATTGCAAAAATTCTCAAACGACTTAAAATTTTTTAAAATGTCTTAAAAATTTATTGCTTGTTAGAATGTTTGATTTTACTTCTCAAAAAGACACTTTTTAAAAAATTATCCAATTTGTTAACTTTCGAAGCCTTTCTGATTCATTTTTAATTACCTTTTTTTTAAACAAATAAATTAATTATAGGATAAGAATGACTAAACTTGCAACTAGAATACTAGTGATTACAGCATTAAATTGCAGTATTACTTAAGTTTGATTATAAGCTGTAGTGAATCAATTTAATTATGTATTACTATCTAACAGACCGTCTGAAGGACTTTATCAAAGTCTTCTGGACGAATGATTACATCGATTTTCAGATTCTTTGGGATTCTGCTAGCACTATGGACAGCTTTCATCAGTCGCTGATCACATACATCGCTCAAGCTGACAAGTGCTATGTGACCAGTGTTGGTATTGTAATAAGCTTGTTTTGATATACATTCCATTGCTTCTTCATTTGACAAATGCTATATACGAGCAATAAATTTGATTGGAAATTGATACTATGAAATCTAATTCAAATGAATGTTTTTTAACCTATTGCATAAGTGACTAAATAAATCCTGATACCAATATTTTGATCAATTAAATGTTTGCTATTTACCACTTATACTTTCTTTTTAGATTTAACTTCCCAATGGATAATCCTGCTTCCCAGAAAATTCTCAGAAGCCTCCTGTGCCTCCAAACAGTATTCTAACTAACGTAAAGAGATAAAATATACTACCGTTATCTCAAACTAAATATTCCATGCTAGAAGAAATCAAATTAGCGGGAATTCATTAAAACTCTATATCATTAACAATATCCACCCCACTCGCTACAACTCAGTTACGTTATTCAAGATCGCTACTCATAATTACACCTAAAATCATTCCACACAAATTGTAGCAGACGTCTCGATAACTGCATGTAAAACTCACAGATAATAGCACACGAAATTCTGCATGCCATCTACAATTTGTTATGCCAATGATGACTAGAAGCAACCGCATAGATATATGCGAAATGCTATAAGTGTCTTTCTGATAAACCAATCAACACCCTTTATCATAATTATTTCATTGTATACGCATTGAACTACACAAAATCTTACACGGAACTAACTTCTTTTTCATATGAAAGCACAATCATCGATATAATAACTTACTATTCTTGAACTAAATAAATTTACTTGATATTTGTTTAATGAACATATGTGAGGAAATTATGCCAAGCAAGAAGTAAAATTTACTTATATATATCTCATGAGAACATAAACTTTAAAATGCTACTCCAGAAAGAAGAAGATAACCAAATTCTTACAAACATAGGCTTTTTAATAACAGAAATGCACAGATCAATTATTCTGACTTGGAATTTTTGGCAGCTACGAAATTCGGTGTTTCTTGTCTGAACCATATAATGAATCCTGAGCAGATCTTTTTTTCATTTTCGGTATACATATCCTTTCAACAAATGCTACCAATGATTCCTTGTCAATTGGATAAATGATACTGTTATAAACAGCTTTTGCGGTCCTGCATGAATTAGGTAAACTTTTGTCCGTACGCTCACGCATGAATTCCCATTTGCCATTCTAAAAAATATTGAATCTTTTAACTTGATCTGAATTGTTCATCCCAAATTTTTTATTCTGAAATGTGAAATATTTATGCATTACAGTGCATATATTAAATACTTCACTGCTGCTTGATTGTCTAGTCTCAAATTTCTACTGCCTCAAATTAAGAACTTTATGAACTACTACACTAAAAGATACGTAAATGTTCGAAAATCTCCAAATTCATATCAATTTAACCTTGAAAGTACATTCGATTATCTTATTATCGTAAGGTAAAAGCTTCTTCGTAGCTTTCATTTGTGCCATTGGTTCAGATTGATGTTGGACATGGAGAAAGCCAATATATTCAGGCAGTTCACCTGCTTTACATACACGCCGTATTCTTAATTGAAAGTCAACTGAATTATGAGATGGAGGTTTCCATTTCAATAGAGTATCACATCGCCCACAACAATATGGCTGGAAAATATTACTCACACTGATGACAAGATAAAAACATGAATTTACAACTTAGGAAAAGTAGCATTTTCGAACATCATAAATTTTACTTCAAAAGTCTTGAAGAACTGCCATAACAAGAATATTTTTACTCAAATGTATGAAATTCCAATGGTATAAACTTCTTAAAGCTAAGAAATCAATGTTTACTTAAGTTTTACAAGACTCCTAACAGTGAACAAGCTTGCTGAAAACCATAAATGATTATTTAAGTTTCATCCGAATTAAATAGAATAAGGAACATTCAAAAAGTCGCAAAATAATTCGTAAATCTGAATATCTATCGCTCATCGCATGGCTCTTTATCGAGAACGTATATCACAAGTGAACTTTCGATGGTAGTATATATGCTTATCATGGTTGTAACAGATAATGAATAAGGGTTCGACTGAAAAATGACTATAGCATCCAAAGAAAGCAGCAGC